TGGTCAGAAGGCCCCAGCCTTCTCTTCCTCTGACTGCTGATCATATGGTACACCCCATGAAGGTGGAACTATATGGCCATAGTTGCACGCTGGGAAACAGAAGGTAATATAGCAGATGTAGAAGCCATAGGCATCTGGGTGACTTCCTCATGTAATTTACTTGTACCCTCTGGACCTGCTTTGGCTCAATCACATATATACCATTTCCATTTAATGATGGATTGTCACTGTGCACATCCAACCTTATGACTTGGTGGATCAGATAACACCCAGGTCATGATAGGCAACTCAGGTCACAGTGACCTGGTGTCCCATGGTCAAGCATTCAGTTTCCACTAGGAACCAGTAGCAGGCCAAGAGTTGCTTTTCAAAGGGAGAGTAGTTGTCTGCAGATGATGGCAAGGCCTTGACCCAAAATCCTAAAGGCTTCCACTGCGATTGACCTATGGTAGCCTGCCAGAGACTCCAAACAGCATCTCTACCTGCCACTGACACTTCAAGTACCATTGGATCTGCTGAATCATATGGTCCCAGTGGAAGAGCAGCCTGAATCTGTTGCAAAGCTTTTTCTTGCTCTGGTCCCCACTCAAAACTAGCAGCTTCCTGAGTCACTCAGTAAATGGGCCAAAGTAGGACACTTAAATGAGGAATATGTTGCCTCCAAAATCCAAATAGGCCCACTAGGCATTGTGTCTCTTTTTTGGTTGTAGGGGGAGCCAGATGTAATGACTTACCTTTCACCTTAGAAGGGATATCTCTACATGCTCCACACCACTGGACTCCTAGAAATTTCACTGAGGTAGGACCTTGGATTTTCATTAGATTTATTTCCCATCCTCTAGCTCTCAAATGTTTTACTAACAATTCCAGAGTAGTTGCTACGTTTTGCTCACTTGGTCCAATCAGCATATCATCAATGTAGTGTACCAATTTGATACCTTGTGGTAGGGAAAGGCAATCAAGATTCCTACCAGATAAGTTGTGACACAGGGCTGGAGAGTTAATATCATCCTGAGATAGGAGAGTGAAGGTGTATTGCTGGCCTTGCCAGCTAAAAGCAAATTGTTTCTGATGGTTCGTATGGATAGGCATGGAGAAGGCATTTGCCAAATCAATAGCTGCATACCAAGTACCAGGAGATGTTAATTTGCTCAAGCAAGGAAACTACATCTGGTACCGAAACTGCAATCAGTGTCACCACTTGATTTAATTTATGATAATCGACTGTCATTCTCCAAGACCCATCTGTCTTCTGCACAGGCCAAATGGGAGAATTAAATGGTGATGTGGTGGGGAACACCACCCCTGCATCCTTCAAGTCCTTGATGGTGGCACTAATCTCTGCAATCCCACCAGGAAAGCGATACTGTTTTTGGTTTACTATTTTACCAGGCAAAAGCAACTCCAATGGCTTCCATTTTGCCTTCCCAATCATAATGGCCCCCACACTACAGGTTAGGGAACCAATGTGAGGATTCTGCCAAGTATTGAGTGTATCTATCCCAATTATGCATTCCGGAACAGGGGAAATGACTACAGATGGATTTGAGGAGCTATCGGACCCACTGTGAGTTGGACTTTTGCTAAAACCCCATTGATTACCTGACCTCCATAGGCTCCTACTTACTGGAGGACCACAATGATGTTTTGGATCCACTGGAATCAGTGTTAGTTCAGAACCAGTGCCCAGTAGTCATTGAAATGTCTGATCATTTCCCTTCCCCCAATGTACAGTCACTTGAGCAAGAGGCCTTAGGTTCCTCTGGGGAAGGATGGGAGATAGGTTGACTATAAATTTTTGGTGCATCAGGGTCCTTCCCCAATAAGACCTGGCCCCCCCTTCATTCAAGGGGTTCTGGATCCATAAACTGGCTCAAATCTGGGAATTGTGTGAGGGGTTGAGATTCCCTGTTACCATGATTTGAAGGTCTTTTTCTGTTCATTTGCCCTTAGATTTTTTTCAGTTATATAAATCTAGTAAAACTTTTGTAGGCTTCCCATTCATTTCACTTCTGGGAACACCATGGCTGATCAGCCAATGCTATAGGTCTATACCTGTCAGATTATTCTGCTCATTTTTCTGCTTCTGCTGTCCAGTATACTAAGTACGTGCATTCTGCTGCCACTTGGCCTCTGCCACTCCGGGATCCAATCAAGTCCATTGCCCTTAAATTTCCCAGTTGAGTAACTGCAGTCCCCACTGTAAGGTCAGGCAGAGAAGAGCAATGGCAGGGCACTTCAGGGATGCTGGTGCTCCCCTCATGCTGTTCCTTAAGGTGTCAGTGAAGGTACATTTTCTGGATCATCCCAGTGTGGAGGATTAGGTTTAACATGACAGATCCACTCCAGCATTCCCATTTCCCTAAGCCTCTGAATACCATCATCAACAGTAAACCATGGAATATCAGGCATCTCTAACTCATTCACAGTGTGCCATCTTTTGTTCCACACTTCTGCCAACCAGCCAAATAAACTATTAACACCTTTCTTTACTCCATGGGCCGCAACATTAAATTCAGAATCACTGCTTAATGGACCCATATCAACACACTCAGCCTGATCCAGATGTATATTTACCCCACACCCATAAGATCCATTCCCACACTTGCTCATCAGGCCTCTGCTTGTAAGTTAGAAAACTCAAGGAGTTATTTTGGGAGTATAGCAAACCTCCTCATGGGTCACACTATGTACCTCACCCTTGGGAGCCTTCTGTGATTTGAGCTTGGTTATGGGCCTAGAGGCAAAAATGGGTGGTGAGGGTGGGTCCTGAGGAACGTCAATCTCAGTGTTATCATACTTGGTCAACAGAAGATTAGTTTCCTCAGGTATACTAGGAGGGGCCAACACCACAAGGAGGGGGATGGGGATGCCTCTGCCAATGCAGGTGGGAAAGTCTCTTCTTGTGGCAAAATAATCTCACTAGCATCTAGAAATTCAACATCCTCAGTTTCATCAGGATCCTCCCAAACATCTCCATCCCAGTTTATGGGATCCCATTCTTTTCCGATCAGTGCCCTTCCCTTTACTTCAGATACCCTTCGAGGCTGGGCATTAAGCTTACGTTGTAGTCCAGCCAATCAAATTATAAGGGCTTGTGTTCGGGTTTCTGCAATTTCAACCTTGTGGCTAAAAGAGAGATTTTCTTTCAGGACACACTGAGAAGCTTTAAAATATCTTATGTGTGTCTGGAGCTGGGAGTTTGAATCTTTGAGCGTCTTATTTTCCTGTGCTTTTTCCATAGATGTTAAGGACCAACCAGCCAGCATCATTATGTTTCCCACTTTTCCAGAAATATTCAAACTTCATATACAGTGTTGCTGAATTCCTGACATCTCACACCTGGTGAATTAGGACAATCAAATGGATCGACCTTGCATATTACTTGAAACACTTCACGCCAAGGATTATCAATATTCCCCACAGGAGTTGAAGGAGAGACCATGGTGGCCTTAGGTCTCATTAGAGAGCTGACTCCAGCAACCACTAAAGGCATTAAATAATTCCATTTTTACAATTTTGTTTCTCTAGAGCCACTCCTGGTACGAAAATCTGTATCACTCAGTATTTACTAGAGAAACCAATAGAATACAAGATATATACACACACATATATCTATATCTATATCTATATCTATATATATATATATATATATACCCACATACATAAGAATTTACAAGATTAGCTTACAATAGCCACCCAGAGGGTCTCTCCGCACACTGGAGACCGAAGGATTCAGTCAAAGTTCTGGAGCTCACTGTAGTGTCCTGTGGGAGTCTGTATCAGGAGGCTGATGGGTCTGCACTGGAAGGCAAAGACTGGAGCTCCTCCAAAGAACAGAAGAGAACTCAACCTTCCTCATTCCCCCTTTGTAGGAGTCAGGCGAGGAGCACCCCTAGGGTCAATGTTCCACACCTTAAGGTGTGGAATTGCTGAGCCAATTTGGCAAAGCTTCTCTTAGCCAAACTTCTTAAGTTGACGCAATCACTCAACCATCACAGATGTAATTTTCAATGTAGTTCACTTCCTTGGTTGGGCTCATTTGTAACTATTTAATTTTTCTTGATGCTGTTGTGAATGCTTTCTTCCTAATTTCACTGTTAGCAAGTTATTAGTGTACAGGAACATTATTGATTTTTGTATGTTCATTTGTATTCTGCCACATTGTTGAATTATTAATTTTAGGTATCTTTTGTTGGAATATTTTGGGTCTTCTATGTAGAGGATCATGCCATCTGCAAATGATACTGACTTCTTTCTTTCCTATATGTGTCCCTTTTCTTTCTCTTGTCTAATTGCTCTAATGTTTTGAGGTCTACATTGAACAGGAGTGGAGATAGTGGACATCTTTGTCTAGTTTTTGGAGGGAACTGGAAACCTGGGTCCCAGGTAGCCTCTAAAGCCAGGAGATGAGTGAGTCCCAACCAAACTGCCTAGAAGGGAGGAATGGTTCCTCAATACTGAGGTTATTCTCCAGAAGTGGGTCTGGATGTCTTCAACTGTTTTCTCTTTCTCTCATAGCATCTTATAGTACTTACCAGTCCCACTTCTAAGATGATAAAAGCTTGGTTATAGTAAGCAACATGTTCAAGGAAATCTCAATAAGGAACTAATAACAGTACCTGCTGAGGAAGCAATCTTCCCTAAGATGTGTGGTATCTCAAGCCCTGCTTTGCAACTCTGTGGGCTCAGTGACTATTCCTTTCCATCCTGTAATCCATATATGGCAGCTGGGGGATAGGACAGACTAGTTGGGAAGCTATTATTTAGGCCATACAGTCCACCATGTTTTTTGCCACACCACACCACACCTACCACTCTTACTAATCCAAGCTCAGCAGTTCAGGGAACCTCTACAACCCAGCTGTTTATAATAAGCATCACTCTTCTCTCTGTAGGTGTTGTATCATTGGGATGCAGGCAGCTGGCGAATCTTGTATTGAGATAGCTTCTGTCTCTATAACTATATGGAACATATCCAAAATGTCCATTCAATGTGATACTCTGTAACAAAGACACTTTATTTATGAACATTTCCCAATAAGGACAAAAGGGATTTAAAATGGCAACTATTTGGAACACCTGGTTCCCATGTACTTCTGATAGGAAGGTGGAAAGTGGGGTGTAGGACTGGGTTAGAGCATTAAGGTATAAGAAAAGGTAGGTCAAGAAGAAAGAGGAAGAGGGGCTTCAGAGAGGGACAAGAAGCTGTACCAGGAAAGATGGGAGCTTTCAAGAGGAAGAAGAGCAAGAAAAAGAAAAGAAGAGGATGAAGAAAGGAGGAAAGGAAACTTTGGAAGAGAAGGCAGCACTAGCAACTTAGAAGGGAGCTGGCATCAGATCCTGTGCAAGGGTGACCAACCCAGATATCCCTAGGCTTCAATTGGTTTAGCTGGGCCTAGTCCACTGGAAGAAGTTGCAGCGGGAGGAGGGGTCACTGGGAGGACCCTGAGGCCTGGCACACATGTAGAAACGGCGGCCTAGATTGGGTCCTGGCTTCTTCACAGTACGCATCACACATGGCTCCCTGTGGCCCCTACAGAGGGGCATAGGCAAAGGCCCTGCCAACACAGACTTCCAGAATGAGGTCAGTGCCTCCTTCTCCTCTTTGGCCCCTGAAGCCTTTATCTCCACTTCTACCACTTTGGCTATTTCCTCTTCTTCTGGAGTCTTTGTGGTCATGAGGGTGCCCACCAGAGGCAGGGTAGGCAGCTTCAAGTCAGAAGAAGTTTGGGGATGGTTGGAAGAGGGCCGGAAGTAGCTTGTCATGTTTTTCTGGCCTCTTCTGGAGCTAGCTTGACTTAACCGAGGCCTGGTTGAGCGAACACAGGATTTGTTTTGTTGTTTCTGTACCTGAGTTTGATTGCTGAGTTGCAAAGCTGACTGCTCCAATACAGGTTTGTGTTCAAGGGGAACTAGGAAACGAAGAATCTTGAGCTGAGTGCCTGCAAACTCAGGAAAGAAGCGGGTACACAGGGGTGGGCAGTGTTTTGCAGGCACAGAGGACACATTCAAAACAGCACCCACAGGGCAATGGTCAGAGCCCATAATCTCAGGGAGCAGGAAAGAGGCCTGGAAGGTGTCCATGACCAGGCTCCTGTCCCCTAGGATGTAGTCAAGCCGGCACCCATAGTTCAGATGGCGGGCACCATTGACCACCGACCAGCAGGTAAAGGCCCCTTCTTGCTGTGGTTGAAAATAGCGGTAGGTATCAATGAAGGGCCCCATGTGGGACCCAGCCTGGCACTCTAGGTTATTAAGCAAGCCATCCATCCACTTGCGTCCTGGGTCCTCTTCAAAGCATTCCTGGGAAAGGGGAATGAGGGTGAAGAGAAACTTAGAACTAGATGCCTAGAACTGGAAAAGGGGCTATCTGCTTCATTTTACAAAAAAGAAAGAAAATTTGGTTTCCCAAAAGAGGACTACTGCTCAAGGTCACATAGGCCAGAACTGGCACAGCTAGAATTTGATTTCTAACTTTACTGATTTAGAAGCCTATTCTTATGATACCTCTGTACCACACTGTTCTTAGCTTACGTTGGTCTATAAAAATGCAAAATTGTGAAGGTCAATAGTTGCTTAATCAAAGTAATTTCCAGAATTATTTTTCAAAAGAATGGAAAACAGGAGAAGTACCTGTCTCTAAGGGTGTAGTAGGGTAGAGATAGAAGTTAGGAAGAACATTGCCTTTTTCTTTAAAACCTCTGGTGCTATTTGGTTTATCATGTATCAAAACTCTCACTAACCACCCCTCCCTCCTATGATCAAGGGCTTCAGAGATACATGTCTGAATACTTCCTTTGCTCAGATTCCTGATCTATCCATCCATCTATCCAACCTACCTACCACCCACTCATTCAATCCAACAAATATTTTATGCCAGACATAATGCTAGGGACAAAACAGATATAGTCCTGGGAAGAAGGAGGCTTCCTTCTAGGAATTGACCTGGAACCAAGATGTGAAGGCCAAGCAGAAGTAACCTAGGTAAAAGGTAGGTAGCTTCAAACTATGAGAACAGCTTCTATGATATAGGCCTGTATAGGGAGGGTACATTTAAAAGACCTGAGTAGAGACCAGCATGGAGAAACCTATTGGATACAACTATCATACTCCATGCAATCAAGAAATGATGGTTATCTAGCCCACAGTGGTACCAAAGGAGATAGAAAAATGAAACTGAGAGATGATTTGAAGGTAGAATTAGCGGTACTCAGTAACAAATGAAATGTGAGGGCTTGAGGGGAGGAATGGGATAAAATACAAAAATTTTTTTAAAAATGTGAGAATGGAGGTAATAAAGGATAAAAAAGAGTATAATTCTCAGGCTTCCTGTTGGAGCAACCAAGAGGATAACTGTGTCATTTAGAGATATGAGATTAGAACAGCTGGGCCAGTAGGAACCAAACATGTTCTGCTATTTTTAAAAGACTATGTCATTTGAGATGATACTATAGTACACTCTTCCTGGAAGGAAGAATAAAGGAGGTGCACCAGAGATACCTAGGCTATCTCTGAACTGGGGAGGCATAAAGATATACAATATAACCCAAAAGAACCAAATAAGTGAATTACTGATGAAGAATGAGGAAGGGAGGGCCTGAAGGCTTGCACTTTGTAGTGCTCACCACCCTCCTACCATACCACCACCACCTTCTGTCATTATTTCAGGTCTGCTCATTTTCCCAGCTGGAAGCCACATCTATGTTTATGTGGCTCTCCTGCAAACTAATTATGGAATCTTCCCATGGCCCCATTTCTGAACCAAATCCAGGGTTGAATTGGACTGTGACAGCATCAATCTCCGCTGTGATATTATCATCCACATTTTTAGGTTTTCATCCATATTTCCAGCCTTGGTCACCCCTGCTCAACCAAGAAAGTCTACAAACTAGAGTTTTTCTGCCCCAAGCTAGGACACAGAAACTAGTCTTCCCTTGTTTTAAGCTAGCCATTAAGCAATTCTCTGATCTACCTTTGCCTCATAGAGCATAAGGCCCTCATTCCAGAGGGGTGCTGCCTGAACCAGGAGGAATACCAAAGAATCTGAAGAGACAGGCCTTCCTGGGTTTCCTCACCCAGTCTTCCAGCAATTGTTCCTATGTAATGAAGTCTGTATAAAAACCCAAAAGAACAGGGTTCAGAGAGCTTTTGAACAGCTGAACATATGGAAGCTCATCCATTTGCTGAGAGGGTGGCACACTCCAACTCTACAGAAACAGAAGTTCTTCATTTTGGCCTCTTTCAGACCTAATTCTAATGTATCTCTTCATCTGACTACATATTTTAGTCTTTCAAATATCCTTTATAATTAACCAGAAATCTAAGTATAGTGTTTGCCTGAGTTCTCTAAGCTGCTCTAGCCAATCAAAACCTGAGGAGGGGGTCATGGGAACCTCAATTTATAACTGGTCAGTCAGAAGTTCCTGAGGCCCAGGCTTGTGAATGGATCTGAAAGTGAGGTAGCAGTCTTGGGGATGAGACCTCAAAAATGTAGGATCTGACACTGTCTCTGGGTAACGGTATTAGAACTGAACTGGATTAGAGAACACTCAGTTAATGTCTGCTGCTGCAGAATTGCTTACTTGTTGGTAGGGACAAATCCTACACCTTTTGGGGTCACAGAAGTTTTTTGTTTTAATTGCTGTGGTATGAGAGCAGAGGAAAAACAGGCAATTTGTTAATACAACAGAGAAATCTTCCACATGAGATGGGTCAAAATGAGAAGTAGAGTGGACCTTCAAGTTACAACCAGCCCAACATATGAACAACTTGGGTTAATTAGGTTAATGGAAGATTCATCCACCTCTTGTTATCTATAGTGTGTACCCAGGTAAACATCCAGATCTCAGCTGTATTGACTTACAACCAACTTGAGTTACAATCAACTCTCAGGAACTGATCAAGTTTATAAGTCAAGGGTCTACTGTAGTTTATATATTCTAGGGTGGTGGTTCTCAATCCTGATTGCAAAATAAAGTAACCTGGGGACTTTTAAAACATACCACTAGCCTGGCCCTACAACCATGAGATTCTGATCATTGTTCCCACAGTGGCAATTAAATGTTTTTGTTCAAATATGCAATCAAGGATTAAAAACAATTGACCTAGAGGAAAATAAAGAGATTCATTAAAGAAAAAAGATAGAAGGGAGAGGATGGTCACCAGTTTGAGGCACAGTGAAAAAACCCAGCATGAAAACAAGTTTTGCAGTGGGCAGAGAAGACATCTGTTTGCAGTGGATGGCATATACAGGGATACTGAAAATGGAAATGAAGACAGGGCACAGACCAGAAAATGCCTCCAAGGTCTAGTCCCAAAGTTTTCTTTGCATCATAGAGGTAAGAGGGTGATGTTGAAGTTTTATGAGCAGAAAATATAGCGTATTAGGGAAATAACCATGGCAATGTGGACTCATGGCCCTCAGAATTTGGGTCCCAATGGACTCTCCAGCCCCACCTTCTGCCACTTTCCTTCATTTCCATGAGTCTTTAACAGGAATGGGACTTCCAGTTCCCTGTGCACACTAGGCAACTTCCCAACTTGAAACTTTTGCCCATGCTGTAACATTTAACTCCCCCTACTCCAAAGCTCTATTCTGCTAATCTTTTAAGATTCAGCCATTCTCAGCTGCCTGCCCTGATGTCCAGGCTTGCAAGGAATCCTATCACTGGGCTTCCTTAGCCCTCTGGACTGCCATCTCTGCCTCAGCCCAGAGAATATCGCTCTGCAGTTCTCTGACCATGTGTTTGAAGCCCACACTGAGAGCTCCAAGGGCCAAGAGCTGGATCTGACTCATAACTGAGTTCCCAACACTTGGCTCAGGGCCAAGCCAAGAGTAGGGTCAGTAATGTCTGTCAAATGAAAGATCAATCCTCAATACTTTTAGAATTGTATTTCAATAGGATTATATCAAACAAAAAAGCAGCTACATAGGAAAGGAAGCAATTCAGAGGGAAGAGCTAATCTTTAGAATGGGAAAATATTTGCCAACCTGATAAAGGGTTAGTATCTAGAATATATAGGGAACTCAACTCAACAACAAACAAATAAATAATCTGACTCAAAAATGGGCAAATGATCTGAATAGATATTTCTCAAAAGGCCAAAAAGTATGTGAAAAAATGATCAAAATCACTAATTACCAGGGAAATGTGAATCAAAGCCACAATGAGAGATCATCTCACTCCAGTTAGAGAAGACAAAAAATAGCAAATGCTGGCAAAGATACACAGAAAGGGACACTCTCAAATAACTGTTGGTGGAAATGTACATTAGTATGCCATTTTGGGAAATGGTACGGAGTTTCCTCCAAAAGTTTAAACTTATTTCTAGGTATTTATCCAAAGGAAATGAAATCACTGTTATCAAAGAGACATCTGTACTGCCATGACCATTGTAGCATTATTCATAATAGCCAAGATACAGAATCAGATGGACAAATTAAAGAAAATATGGAGAGTATCATGGCAGACTACAGGCAGCAACATTTATGCAGCACTCAGAAGAGACTCACCAAGGCCCACAGGTACTTAGATACAGGTGATGAACAAAAACCCAACCACAGGAAGGCAACTTGAAGTAGAAGGCCATCAGATGAAATTCAGCAACAGAAGTATTTAGAATAAGAACTGTTTCTTGATTTTGGCACTGCTTTACAGCCCGGGTCCAGTGAATAATAAACCATCTTGGGAAAAGTTCAAATTCCCCTGAGGGAAGAAGGCCAGTTCAGCAGATGCAAATAGAGAGTGTAGGAGACTGAAACATGGAAACTGGGCAGAATAAATAGTAGAGCCTGTGGCAGAAACTCACCCAGGAACCTGAGATTGCTTTCTGTCAGTGAGAAGAACACTGATGACCTAGCAACATACTGAGAACATCAGAGGTTCCTGAGCATGGTGCCTTATGTATGTTTTTGTTCTGTGAATTTTTTGTATGTTTTTTCTTCTTTGATCTTTTTGAGAGGCAGGCCTCTGTATATATGTATGTAAGTATGGTTACAGCTATATGTATCAATTTTCTACTGTTGCATATAAAACATTTCATGTAGGTAAGTCACATATACTCACTTCAAAGGTTGTTTCTTGGTGTTATTTAACCCTTGCTTGACTATTATTTCAACAGCTGGATACACTTTCCCTGTCTCTTTTTTTACTTTGTAGCTACCATCTCATCTTTTCCTTACTTTGTTTTCTTTCCCATTATACCTTCTATCTATTGGTTCCTCTCCCTTATATTTTTATTTTTCTCTCTTTTTCTGTATTTTTCTCTCTTTAATACATTAAGATTAATCTAAATACTACTGT